AACTCAATCTAAACTTGACTTGTAAAAATGAGTTAGAGTCTATATATTCTAACTCGTGATACATTGGTAACTCGTAAATTTGACACAAATGGATCAAGGTCATGGGCAAATCAACTTATGAATTAACAGGTTGACCCGTATAATTTTTTTTGAAAAACAATTATGTTTAAGTTTACTAATCTTATTTATTACCAATAATAATAACAATGACCTTACTTATTATTATTAACAAAAATTGTTTTTTTATTAACCAATTAACCCTGTTTATTGCTAATTATGATGGCCAATTTCACGCCTCCACTCCACCTCACCAACTCATTGCAGAACTCTTTCATCTTCATTCTTTATTCGGTTCAGTGCTCAAAAGTCCCTAGCCCTAATTTCTACTCACCCTCCACGCCAAACTTTACATCTTCCCCTTTCAATCCTTCATATCCCTCACTTATCTCAATCATTTCACCTGTCACTTGTTTTAATGCTTTCGCTTCCATTGAACATTCATCCACTTCGCTTATTCTCTCAAGCCAAATCCTTTCTTGTTCAAGGTATGAGTCTTTCATATCTATAATTTTTTTCTTTTTTTTTTTACATTCTAGATGTTTTTGTATTCAATTTTCAGTTTTAATATTTGATTTTATTTAACTTAATTTCATTTGAAATCCTATTCTATTTTTATCTTAAAATATATTTTATTTTATTAGATTTTACCAATTTTTTGTTGATTCTATTCTACTTTCTTTTTGATTTTGATTCCATTTTGTGATTTTTTTATATGACTTACAATATTGCCTCATCTCTCTCTTTTAGTTTATGATTTTTAACTTTTTTGCCTTATTCAGTTACTTACAAAAACGTCAACTTAGAGTTAATTCATAACCCATTAAGGTCAAGTTAAAGTTGGTCTTCCTCAACCTGTGACCCATTAGTGACCCAACTTATAGAATTCATTACTTAAGTTGACCCAACTCGAACTTGATCCAATCTGCTTGTTTGCCAAGGTCTAACTGCATTTCACAATTAATGTTGGGAAGTATATTCCTCGCATTATCCATTATCCCTTCATAATAGTAGTTTATTAACATCAATTGTAACTTGGGTCTTCGGGTCCAGTGACATCCAATCACGTTTAAGTACATCCCTCCTTCACTCTCTCGAACAACGATTCAAATCCGATCCCTTGCAAAATTGTTCAAAAATTAACATCAAATGTATTATTGTGGTCTCCACATGATGGATAAAGTGGTAACACCGATGAGGGTTTCAAATTCAACCTCAGTTACCCCTTTTCTCCACCCCTTGAATATAAAATGTAGTAGAAGACAATTGCCCTCTTTTAAAAAGGAAAATAAAAAATTATATTATACCAAAAAGAGAGAATGGAAACACGAAACATGCAAGAGGGTTTGTTGTTACTGAAGTAATTGTCTAAAATTGTTAGGATTCATTTGATTACACCTTTTGATATTTAACTTTTGTTTTTATTTTATTTTTTATTATCTTAAAAATACATAAAGTATTAATTAAAATAAATATTAAATATAATAAGTATATATTTATAAAAAAATCTACTTAGATATGATTTTTATATATTATATTTATATAAAATTTTAATTATTTATTTTTTAATTTTTAATCATTAAAATTTATTTTGATTTTTTAAATAAAAAATAATTCTTTTATTTTTAATCATTAAAATTTATTATAATTTTTTAATATAATATATAAAATTTTTATATAAATAAAATTTTACTCATATTATATATTAAAAAAAAACAATAAACAAAAAAACTAATCCCACATGCAGCTACAACCTAACACCCTCCAAGAGACAAAGTCAAACTAGCTTTCCTATAATTCTATGAGTGCACCTAAGTACTCACGAGCTGCTCTGGCTTGTTTGATGGTTTCCTTAATTAGCCGACATGTTTACAACGCTTGTCAGCTACGGACAACAATTTTTGGTTTTTTTTAAATGCAAAAATAATGCCACAGTTAGAAACGCACCTAAGACTGTAAGCTAGAGATTAATGCAAGGCGGATGTTGTTCAGAAACGCACCCAGGGCGGCGTACTCTTGAAACGCCCTTTCTTCTGCCCTGCACCGGAGAAGTGGCGGGAAGAACAGCCAAAACCCAGTGGTCAACACGAACCCAACTGTCAATGGAGTAGACACCACTCTTGGCAATCGCCGTTTGTCTTTTTCCGTCGAGATTTTCTTCAGAACGATCTCCACCATCAAGCAGAATCCGTGGAGGAGGAAGAGCCGAGTGATTTCCCACGTGGGCCTGACGCGGCCCAGGTAGTAAAATATGATCTCGTGCATTAAACCCGACACCACAAAGGTGCCAAAAACCGCGGGGAGTGGAGCCCATTTCCGGCCGATAAGAGGAGTTCCGAAGCGGAGAAGAGGGTCGTAGACGCTGAGTCGGAGAATGCTTGACACCATGATGTTCCATCTTCTTCCCCAGAAATCTTGAAGAGAAGTGGAGAGGTACGGCTCGTTGAATTGTTGTTCTAGCTCAAGACCCAGAACCACACGAGCGATGGCTGCAACCATGGCTAGAATGATCTCCAGAGCAAAGTATATATGAAAAGAATATAGAACCAGGATGAGTATATGGTGAATGAACTCCCTGTAGTCATATACACGAAGCAGGGCAGCGAGAAGAAGGATCTTGATTGCATAATTTGATGGGGATTTATGGCCCTTTTGAGGGTTTTGGGCATTTGGGTGTTCCTTGTTTTGGCCATTTTGATGTAATTGAGGAGATGGGGTTTTGGGGTTTTGGCCATTCAGATGGGATTTTGGAGATTGGTTTTGCTGGATCTTGATGGGCAAACAAGCAACAGCCACAAAACGAGGTAAAGAAAGGGATGAAGATAGAGGGCCTTTACCATAGGCAAAAAGCAAGAGCTTGAAATTAGCAAGCCAAGCAATGAAGAAAGCACTGATGCCTCCTAGATGTAAGGAGGAAAGGTTGAGGGGAAGGTAGAGAAATAGGCAAACAATTGGTAGCAAACAAAGAAGCCTTCTTGTTCCTTTTGGGGTTGCCTTTCCCAGGACATAACAATAGCAGAGAGAGATCAAAACCCATATCCATACCTTCATCAAATTGTACATCTCTCCCTCCATTGCTCCCTGTTGCTGTAATCTTCTTGCTCTTAGTTATTTGGTAAAATCAGAGAAACTAAGAGATTTTGGCACCAAAATTTGTAGAATATAGACAGGCTGGCCGAGGGCCTCATGCTGTTCAATTTCATGTAAAGGACTCTTTAGTTGTATCCTTCTTCTTCTTTTCTCTCTTTTGTTCGGCCATCAGTTGTCCTTTCCTTAAGACGTGTTTTATTTTTTCTTCTTTTCTTTCTTTCTAGAAGTCGGTTTATCCTACCAAACACAACAAATAAAATAGAAAAAGGTGTACTTTTTATGAAGCGAAATTTGTGCATCGCCAACAATATTTTGAAACATGTACCAAAAAAAAAAACAATATTTTGAAACCACATAGTGGCAATCTTAGGTGGTAGTTTCTGGATTTTTACCATTGGCCCAAACAAGAAAATTTCCTCCTCCAGTTTTGTAATTAGAGAAGAATTTGGTTTCAGTTTGTTCAACTAAGACAAGAAACCCCGTGTGCCTGGTTTTGTCTAATTTACAAAAAATACCTTCTATGTTATAGAAGTTGAAACTAAATCAAATGCAGTCTTTTTTAAAATTTTGATTTCAACTTTTAGATGGTTAAAAAGTTAAAATTATGAATTTATTACTTTTGGGGTAAAATTTTGTTGCGAAACGTGGATAAGCCTCTCAAATAAACTCCTAAAACAACACTTAAATATGCCACCAAAAAATTATAACACACACACACAAACTTCTAAAAATGGCTACAAGTAGGCTATACAGTCACTCGGAATCGAGAAAAATGGATTGCTTCATTCTTTCTTCTTTTTTCTTTTTTGATAAATTAAATACATTGACTTCTTGCTATTGAATTTTGTCAAATTTGTACTCCCATATCTATTTGTAAGATTGGGTGAGAATTTGAAATCGTGATGCCAAAAAAAAAAAAAAAGAGTGGAGAAAAGGGAAATGAAAGTTAAAGCAATATGCAATCATAAGATGAAACCTTAAAAGTTTCAATTTTTTTAAATGTTACCCAAAAGATCTAATCAGAAAGCATTAATAGCAGATTGAATAAATGGAATAAATTACAGATGTAAAGCTTAATATCAGATAGAAAAAAATGGAAAAACAAATGAATGAATCCAGATTCCAGAGACAGTTTGCTCCAACAGGCCAAAAGCTCAATTTTTATTAATAAAGATACCCTACAAAATGAATGTCTAAACTGCAAGATCGTTAACGGGAAGGAAAACAAAAAATGAAAAACTTCTCTTCATTGTGTAATCACCAGTCTCATACTCATAAACCATAAACAAGAACAGTGAAAATGAATTATGACAACATCTAAAAGCATACTTCAAACTTGCAGAACAACTGACTGAGGGTGAAGCAATGATACTGCCAGGGATTCCAATTTCATCAATGCCAATCTCTACGGATGTCAAAGGTATAGTTGATCTCCAAGTAGCATTTGTTGTCATCGTCAACAAACTGTATTAACAACATATGTAAAGGGAAGAAAGATTCAGTGAAACTTGCGTGCATATGTTCTCAGGAATGAAACTAACCTATAAGGTTAGATGTCAGAAACATCAGATGGCCCATGAATTTGAATTTAACACACACGATTTATGTCCTGATGCTGACAACTAACTAATTGAATCTTATTGGTAAATTACATATGCAAGGTAATTATTAATTGACCCTTCATCTAGTTCTGAAAGATGGTAACAATATATAAAGGCAAATGGTTGAATTGAATCCAAACAATGCATTTCGCCTTTTCTCCATATCAAAGGAAGTGGTTACTATGTGGTTACCTTCTTTCAAAAATAAAGACTTGAAACTCTTCTATAAACAATAGTAGCAAACCAAATGCTTGGCAAGCATAATAATTCTTAGTACATGAAATCAATACATGTTGATGATTAATCTGGAACATTTTTTGGTTTTTTCTCTCTAATTAGTTGGCTCAATTATGATAGACAGAGTACTTGTGAAATTACCTTAGATTTAGCTGAATAAGTTCCCCTAGCAAACATTCCAGATGGAGTAGTTTCTTCAGGCATTTCATGTGTGTATGGCTCTCCCTGAGGACTGAAGGTGCCAAGCATCTCCTTTGTGCTATCAACTATTACAAAAATTCAAAACAAAGAATGTCTAATAAGGGCTTAAAGAAGGGGGCAGAATCTTTCATGATAAATGAAAGAGAGAAAGAGGAGAAGTTACCCTTGACACCAGTTTTCCAGACTGTATTGGTGTATTTGAGTCCAGACACAATGTTATTGCTAACCTGGAAAGTGAATTGCAGATGGTATTTGCTACCTTCTTTTAAGGTAAACCACAAACCACGGGGTTTTCCATTCTCAGGAATTGCGAGCACGATATCAGCCCTACCGGGGGATTTGATTGCAAGGCTCATGATCTTAACTTCTGCTTCAAGACTTTCTACATCTTCATAAACAATTGAACAAATGTCAGCAGAACATAGAAGATTAACCAGTTCCATTTTCTTTTTGTTTTTCATTTTCTTTCCTGGGGGATGAGTAAACAATGTTCTACTAGCCATTATACCCTGCTAAAGAAACAGGGTAGCCAGAGACTGACAAGACTAGTGAAAGGTAAATGGAGAGGAAGAAAACCATATCGAGCAGTTAGCCAGTTAGTTTATAAAGACAAACTTACAAAAATATGATCAAACACCAATAATTCTGATTAGAAGCCATTTACAATATAAAGAACTTCTGGTGATCATACATTCCAGAGTGACAAGCATCATAATCAGCAGAAAATTGAAGAGAAACGTCCTTAAATTCAATAACAAATGACCCAAAAGTCAAATTTTTTTATCAATCCATAAGCTTCTTGAGAGAGAGCAATTGTGTTCTATTCTTTCAGTCCCTGAACCTTCAATGTTATGGCTTTCAATAAGCTTCTAAACTTCTGATTCCAGTTTAACTTGAAAAAATAGTGGAACCCAGAACGAAATTCAAGATCTTTCTAATTTCTAGATCCCCATCATTAGCTCATACACAATTCACATGAATTATCAAACTGATACTTTCAAGCTTTCAACATCAAAGAAAGGAAATGGGGAGAAGAGGAGAGGAGGAGAAAGAAGAACGCAAACCTCCAACAGCATTGAGATCAACAGAGCCAAGAAGCTGTTCCTTCCACCTCCTCAAGCTCTCATCATCCTAAAATCCTCATATTCCACAAGAAAGCAAAAGAAAATCACACATACAACAACAATCAAAAGCAAACAAGAAATTAAGTGGTAAAAATGACAACAGAAAGAAACCAACTTAAACATAAGCAAAAAAAGAAAAACCTTATCCTTCTCTAGTTGTTCTTTAAGCGTGCACTGAGGGCCCAACTCAATCTTTCTTTCTTCGTCATCATCTTCGTCCTCAGTGGCACAAAGAGAGCCATCACTCATTTTTCTATTCAACCCAGTGGGGTTTTCCTCAGCAGTCTTTGATTCATCTCGTATTGTCTCAGAAGCTTCGCTATCATCTCCACCCATGTTTTTGGAACTTGAAACCAAACCAACCGCCAAAGACATCAACACCCCATCAACAGTAGCAACACAAAAGAGCAAATGCAAGAGAAAGAGACTCACCAAGACAATGTACTTGACCAAAATTCCCAAAAGCAAAAAGAACAGGAAAGAGAAGCCAACAACTCCCCAAATGGAAGGATCTCTCTAAACGAAAACAACAAAAACTGAGAGAACCCCAATAAAGAAAATGCACGATTATAGCGGGTCAAGGTAAACAGAAACCAAATATCAAGAAAACCCACGAAGGGAATCGGATAATCCTCCCTTCACACAAGTAAAGACACCAAGAAAAAAGAAAGGGAAAGACGGGTTGTTTAGGAAAAGTTCAAACGGTCATGTGGTGATCCGATTTTCAATATTATCAAAAAAAAAGAGAGGGATATCGGTGCCCAGATCGTGAAGGTTACTCCTTTACTAGCTTCCACGAATACACCACGATTCGTGGAGGTTTTTCCACACAAGACCAAGAGAAATAAACAGGAGAGACAAACAAACCTTCTATTGGGTGGGATACTGACAGATACCCTTTTGACCTCTTCTCTTCATTACTTATGCTCATATAATGATTGGAATACTGAAAAAAAAAATGCTTAGAAATCAGATATCAATATGTTTTAGTATTACCTCGTCTATATATCAACAATCAGTTTCAGCCTCTTACATGTTTCAGCCTTTCAGTGTTCTTGTTGTGAAAGGTGATTCCTTTTCGGATCTCAGAAAATACCCATTTTGCCAATTTTCTTTTAGGTGTTAAAAATGGTATGCTTTCTTTTATTATTGTGATTCAATGATTGATATGACCAGTTGGGAAAAGAGGAAATTGGATTGAATGATTACTGGGATTAGTTGGGGAAGGGGGGACCCGACGCTGAATGATTAAGCTTGATTTAAGAGAAAATGCTCGGCATAATGTAATGTAAAATGAATAATTTTGATTCATGCAGCAGGAAAGATGCTCACCAGACCCAATTATGTGTTTATTTTGGGTTGGACCAATGCATAAAAGACTCTCTTTCTTGATGTTTGGCGAATGATAATTTATTTTTCATAATGAGAATGGTTGAGATTGAGATAAGGATAACAAAAATAGACATGATGAAAAAGGGTAGAGCAATTGCTTTCCACATGATTCCTCTGCTTTCTTTCTATCTTTTCCTTTTCAATTGCACTCAAATATTCAATGGCGGGACTGGTGGGGCAATTTATATTACTCAACAGATGAATTTTCTTTACAGCTTCTAGGTCCATGATGCGGATATATTTTCTTTTTCTTTTTCGTTTTTCTAACCTGTCACCTTATGTCCATTTACTGTACCTCTTCACCCTTATCCTCTTCAAAAAATTATAAAAATTTACCTTATTTTTATGGCTTATGCCACATGAAAGTTTTTTGATGTAAAAATGTGTAATTAACACACCCTACTAGCATAGGTTAGAAAAACTAAATAGCATTTTTGTTGAGCAAATACTGAGAAAAGCAGGTGGATGTATTAACTACAATGGCCTAGCAATAGCAGCACCATAAATCGGCTTTAAGAAGGACAGGTAAAGCATAGCATCAATAAGGTTCCTAATTTGGGTACTATACCTAGACCTAGCCTAGTTCTCTCCATTAATCATTAGGAATCACAGCTTGGCTGAGATGAGGATCCAAAGCAACCATAAGGAAGAAAATCAGTTCTCAAATTCCTGAGGCCAAAGAGTTTAAATTTCAGAATACAGTTGGACCAATCAAGAAATTGAATGTGGATGCCTCAATAACTTTCAACTTCCAAGTTCTATCTCATGATTCTCATCCGCAAACTTACACAGAATTGAAAATGTGTCTGAATTATGGATTCAAATGCAATAATAATTCACTACTCATAAACTAGTAACACATGGAGAGATAAATTGATGTCCAACCTTCAAGAGAACCATCAATCGCTTCCCCATTTCCTCAAAACTCTGTCTTTTGCGGAGACCTGACCATATACTCCTTTCATTGATATATTATCAGACTTGGCAAGACCACCCACGTAAGTCTTTTCTAAGATTCTTGATGTTAAGGAAGTTAACCCATCTCTTGTTCCTCGCAAAGCATAAAGCAATGGATTTACTATGACAGCCAGCAATAGTTCACCCTTTGCAACTATGAGATACTGTAAACGCAATAAAAGAACAAAAAGTATGTTTGTGAGAGAGAGGCGCTCAATGGTATAACAATTAACAACCAATCAACAATGGAACAAGAAAATATCTTACCATGAGAATGATACCTAAAACAGTCAGACTCGTTTGCTTTGCTTCTTGCCAAAAATGGTCATCATTAGACCAACCAAATCTTCCACCCCATCCAAACCAACCTCTGCCACCAGCACCACCTCCACCACCTGCCTCCTCTCTCCTTTTAATTTCTCTGTTCCATTTCTCAAATTCATTTTTCTTTCCACCAAGTGCACTTTCCAATGCTTTTCTAGCTTGTTCCTGCAAAGATCCATGCATATGAAAAACCCATATCAATTAAGTAGGAATATGCTGGAACTGTATCCTTCTCACTATATCTTATGCACCTTATCGAAAGTTTTGCAATTAAATCATTCTCATAGACAGGAATTCTAAAACATGATGTGGTATAATGGTAAAGACAAAATGATTTTTCAACCAACTTTTTGGCCATCTTAGACGAATTCAGTTGGTGACTTCAAGTTTCAACATCTGCATCATAATTATTCATTCTCCTAACCAGATAACAGGATACAAGTGATTATAATCAGCAAACAAGGCCATCATCCTAATGCATTTAACCCAATTATGCAAATTTTGAGCATAAACGCAGTCAAACACACAATCATCCCCAGCATCATCTCCAAAATCTCAAATCCCATTTAATGAACTTTATTACTTTATACAAAAAACACCATACAGAGATAAAAATCCCCAACACTTCTCAACTTTAAGAAGCCACAATTCAAAACCCCCAACACAAACTCCATTTCCTTCAATAAAAACCAAGAAAGTCTGCCGCTTTGAATTCTACTTCAACAAATTGCAACAACCCATATATATATCCTCCCAACAAAAAGATTAATTTCAACAAAAAATAACTAAAAATGTAATAGATACAGAAGAAGGTATAGAGATTGAAACCTCTCTGCGGCTTCTATTATCTGAGAAAAGGCAAGTAAATTTGCTGTTACATTTGAGATTCTGCAACAGAAGAGTAAAGCTTCCGTTACCGTAGTAATAGTGGGCGGCACTGAGAGGTTGAAGATGGCTAGATTCGGGTCGGGTGGACGATCGAGAACCGAGAGGGTTTAGGTTAAGGAGTTGCGCCATGGCTTTGGCATTTCCCATTGACATCTGTTGTGCATAAGTGTTAAGCCCTGTTTGGACATGCTTGAGTCGGCGCCTAATAATCCCAATTTGTATGTGTGTTTTTTTTTATATTGTAGAATTGGAGGTACTAAATCTCTAAATCCCAATGTGTTTTTATATTAGCAATTAGTTTTAATTAAATAAATTAAATATTATAAATTATAAGTTATAATAATTGTTAGTTATTAAATATTAATTATTAATTATTAACTGTGTTAAAAGTGTAATTTAAAGAGTTCATTAATCTTATCTATATGTCATGAGAAATAAGGTTATTATTAAGTTATTTAATTTGTTGGTAAATTTCTTTTTGGTATTTCTACTTCATGATTTTCATTTTTAGGAGTCAATTAGTCCTTATTTCTTAAGTTAAGTGGTGGAGGATTATAGGCTAAGACCTTACAATTTTAGGCAGCTTTTAATATAGTTATGATTTGAGGCTTTTACTTTTAATTTTTAAAAATTTTAAAACTCTTAAAATAAAATTAAAAAAAATTTATAAATTATTTAAGTATGAAGTTGGAAAATTAATTTGCTTAAATATTGGACACAATATTTAAATTATTTTATAAATGATGTGCTTGAGTGGTTCAATTTGTATATATTTCATTGAGAGATTTTTTTTTAATTTTTAACCCTCAATGTATTTTTTGGTTAATTTATGTGTATCTTTTGAGATTAATTTCTTATTAATCCTATTTTAATTAAGAGAAAAACATGCCATTTTCTATAAATGGGTATCCAACTAAGAATTAATTAAAGCAAATCATGGAAGCTGAAACATGAAAAGTCTCCTACAAAAATACACCGCACATTTGAAATTTTGAATGGCAAATAAGCACTTGGAACATACCCAACCCAATACACTTTCCATCAAAAAGACAACAAACCCAATGCACTAAATGAGATGGGCTGGCCCAATCTTGAAATTAAGCAGGGACTTATAATAAAAAAATAGTACCTATCTACTTTACATTTTAAAGATTAAAAAGAATTATTTTAAAATTAAATTATTTTAATAAATTTTTAATAAAAAATATTAAAATATCTTATTTTTAAAGTAAAAATTAAAATATTTTTTTATCATTTACTATAATATTTTATTGAAGTCATTTATTACAAAATTTTATTAAAATAATATAATTTTAAAATAATTTTTTAAGATAAATAAATACAAGTCCAATATAATATTACCAGGAACAAAAAATTAAAAAACAAAAAAATAAACAGAAACGAAATAAACTCTCATAATCCCCGTACCTGATTTTTTTGGCCATCATCCCCATGGCACCGGCTTCCGGTGAAGACAAAACCATCTGGGTTTTTTTAACTGTTAAGATAAATCATCTGTTAAATTAAGAAATTCACAATATATATATATGTAACAAATCTCTATCTACAAACATAAAATTTTGATGGCCAACCAAAAATAAATAAATAAAGCAAACACATGGAGTCGATATTATATATATCATTTATTTATTTTTTTATTTTTATTTTTTTTCAGTAAGGTAAGAACATTACATTAAAAGCTGACTATAAGAGTTGCTGGGGGAACAAACGCCATAGGCCTCAGCTAAGGGGAAAACAAAAACATATGGAATCGGATCATTCAAAATATGCAAATCATAAGAAACGTCCAGGCGAGGCAGTCAACAAGCACATTCCCCTCTTTGTATGTAGGATGGTGCACTTGGGGACGAGTTGGAGAAGCCTCCTGTAATCAAGAATCAAGTTGCTCAGTAAGTATTTGAGAGGCTTTTGCTTGTTGAACAACTGAATAGCCACAAGTGAGTCCATTTCAACAATAATATTATGAAATCCATTATTAATGACAATAGAAAACCATCTCTGAGTCTCCATAATTCAGTAGCAAGGCTAGTGGTAATGCCAATGTAACAAACAAAACCAAGAACCCATTCCCCTCTATTATTTCTATTGTTATATCTCATTTAGTTGATATGTGTATAAAAATTATAGTGCAAAAGACACATGGACAGTCAAATCAGAGTAGGCCGTGTAGCCTTATAATTGTTCGTAATTAGGCAAAAACTTATTTTTATTTTTTTATTTTAATAAATTTATAAATTTTAACTTTTTATCTTATATTATAATACTTTTAAGGTACGTTGGTTTAGTTTCCAAGTAGTTTAACTTCTAAGTACTTCAGTTTTTTTGATATTATTCATGTTTCATAAATTAAAATTTTTCTTATAAAAACTTACATTTTTTATCTTTTTTAAATTAAAAAGATCTTAAACAGTAAATTTTAAAAAGTTTCAAATTTTTGTTTTTTGGAAACTTCTTTTTTATTCACTTTTACTTTTTCTAAGAGTAACTTTTAAATTTTTTCTTTAATAAATATTTAAACTTATAAAACATGAATAGTGTAAAAAAAACTTAAGCACTTACAAGTTTCACCAAGCATGCTTTTAACTCATTACCTCTACAAATTAAAAAAATAAACCCTTACCTTTACGCATTGAAGAAAATAACTCTTATTTGATGTTAGTTTATAACATTCAGCAATTGATTATTAACATCCTGTTAGCTCTGTTCCTGTCATTGTTAATAGTCTGTCAGTTGACTATTAATAGCGAGCATTATAACCTTATGTTAACTAAAGATTATTTTCTTCAATTCATATAAGCGAGGGACTAAAAGTATTATAGTATAACTTGAGGGACTAAAACTTATAAACTTATTAAG